AGACACACACACACACACACACACACACAAACACACACACACACACGCACACACAAATTTTCGGGTAACAGAAATCACTGCTAGCAGCAGTTGAGATCTCCTCACCGCAGTATAATGTTCTCCAGAAGGTGATACTTGCTGCTGATGCCATCACCTTGTGGCTCACACACCTGAGCTTGGGGAACGTACACGCACATGTAGAACTTGTCAAAGTAGCTGTAATAAGGAAACACATTGAACGATTTTATTTCGCATCTCATCTGAAACTTTACACATAATTATCGAACTTGTCAAAGATATGTACAGAGATTGTGGGGTCTCGATTAGCATGCCCTCTGGTATTTAACACAAATTGAACGTTCCTAAGTAGATGCAATATTTCAGTAGTATTTTGCGTGTTCTCTGGAAATTGACACATGCTTATCGGACTTATCAAAGTAGTTGTAATATGTACAGAGATTGTGGGGTCTAAGTTATCCCGCTCTCTGGTATTTAACACAAATAGGACTTTCCAAAGTAGCTGCAGCATGTACAGAGATTGTGGAGTTTTAGCTAGCATGTCTTCTTGTTCTGAAAGCATACAGTACTTGTCAAAGTAGTTGTAATATTTGCAGAGAATGTGGGGTTTTAGGTAGCATGCTCTCTAGTATTTGACACATATTATAGAACTTGTCAAAGTAGTTGTAATATGTACAGAGATTGTCGGGGTCTTAGTTAGCATGCTCTCTGGTATTTAAAAAAAAAAAAAACCTTTCCAAAGTTGCTGCAATGTGTACAGAGACAGTTGGGTTTTATCTACATTGTTTTCTGTACTTGAAGTTTAACAAACTTTGTCAACGTAGCTGCAATGTGTAAATTGATTCTGCTTTTTGAGTTAGCATTTACTCTGGCACTTGATACATATAATATAACTTGTCAAAGTAACTGTCGTAATATTTATTACGTAAAGACAGTGTGGGGTCTTAGTTAGCAGTTTCGGTTGTACTTAAAGCATCCATAACATATCAAAGTAGCTACAATATGTGAAAAGATTGTGGGGTTTTGATAAATACATCCTCAAGCATATGACACATGAAATAGACTGTGCCCAGATTTTTTTATGGTGATGGTTAAGGATGGGGAAATTTTTTTGATTGCTTTTGTTTTGTTTTTTTGTTTTTTCGAGGGTGAGGGGTAGAGTGGAGCATTAAAAGTCGCTCAGGAGATAGTGGGTACAAGAGAGGACGGGGTTGTCGTAGACCATTTGTAGTTTGGTCAAAATGACACATGGACGAACGGGTGAAGGGAAGGGGATAGACGTAGTGATGCCTACCTTGTTGATATGCCAACTGCGGCAACATTAAACACTACAAGGACAGAAATTCATTATGGTGGAAGTCAAACACTGCCAGACTTACACGTAGTTTATGTGGCGCAGATTGTGGAAGGTTCCGTTATCCACGCGTTTGAACACATTGTTGTGAAGGTCTCTGCAAATACAAAAGGCATAAAACAATATTGTGTTATTATTATTAATATTTTAAAAAACCTATTATATATAAACAGTCAAACCTGTGTAAGACGGCCACCCATTGCCAAGGAGAAAAGTGGCCGTATAAGACAGGTGTCCGTCTTATGCAGGACTTATCAAGATAGAGAAAACAAACCATTCCCATTTGAGGCCCCAATCGAAAGTAGCCCCATTATGATGTCTTTGTTGGTGTTGTTGTTGTTGGTTAGTATTTCGTTTGTAATTTTTATTTTGTCGCTGATTTTCCACAAGGGTGACAATAAAACGAAATGTATCAGACAAGGAAGACCGAGTGCCATGTTAAAACTAACACATGGGTCGCCACCGGGCACCACTCGGAGAACGAGCGACACTTCTGTAACAAGTTCATTTTGACGTCCTTCGTTACTTTGTTACTGACTGGGTAAACAGTGACCACTCATCTCACTTACGATATGTGTATGAGTTCTGGGCGGAGCTTATGGGTTATGAGGGATTACACACTTACTTCACTAGCAGCTGAAAATTGGTAGCTATTGTCAACAGTGGGAGGGGCCTACGCAACATGACCGGTTGGAGGGACTACCTAACAACAACGACAGGTGATTGAATTATGACGGCTCGCCCTCAACGCCAGGGTCCAATGCATAATTTATGACAAAACGTAATGGAGTCACTGAGGTGACCGTCTTAGACAGGTATTATTGATTAGTATGATAGGGGTTGTGTGTTAAATTATGGTGGCCGCGGCCGCGTTGGACAGGTGCCCGTTTTACACAGTAAAATTATATAGAAAAAACGCAAGGGGAGAAATGGAAAGAAACCGTTTGTACAGGTGGCCGTCTTATAGAGGTGGCCGTCAGGGCAGGTTCGACTGTATATTGTACTACTACTATAATAATAATAATGATAATAATAATAATAATAATAATAATAATAATGATAATGATAATAATAATAATAATAATAATAATAATAATAATAATAATAATAATAATAATAATAATAATAATAATAATAATAATAATAAAAACATTTAAAAAAAATAATAATAATGATAAAAAATAAATACGTAGTAGTAGTAGTAGTAGTAGTAGTAGTAGTAGTAGTAGTAGTAGTAGTAGTAGTAGTAGTAGTAGTCGTAGTAGTAGTAGTAGTCGTAGTAGTATTAGTAGTTAGTAGTAGTAGTAGTAGTAGTAGTAGTAGTAGTAGTAGTAGTAGTAGTAGTAGTAGTAGTAGTAGTAGTAGTAGTAGTAGTAGTAGTAGTAGTAGTAGTGGTAGTAGTAGTAGTAGTAGTAGTACTGCGTTCACATTTTCACGTCAATCCCATAAGTGTATTGGCTTATACGAGGTGGGGGGGGGGGGGTTCAAGAAGTACTTGGTCTAGATATGAAAGAATAAAGATAGAGCTTTGTAACTTGGAACGCAAACTTTCATTTCTCTTCAAAGTCACCATGCAGAGTAAGACACTTCTGCTTCATCTCTTTGACCTTCAAAAGTCCTTGACAATAAATGACAGAGAATGGTCCCATAACCAGTCTTTCACAGGTTCAATGGCGTCCTTGTTATCATGGAAATGACGTCCTTTCAGTTGTGTTTTAAAGACTAGGAAACAGAAAAAAGTATGAAGGGGTTAGGTCTGGTGAATAAGCTAGGTGTGGCAGGATTTCAAAGCCTCACTGTTTTGATGTCCGAACTACTTGTTGTGCCTCGTGCGCAGGGGCGTTGTCATGCAGAAGGAGGACCCCGATACTGAGTTTCCATACCTTGTTCTCACCAATTCGCACCGCAGTTGTATCAACAAGCCTGAATAGTAGTCCCCTGGGACTGTTTTCCATGTTCTAGGTAGTCAGCCATGATGATACCTTCACAATCCCAGAAACACGCCAGCATGACCTTTCCACTTGACGGTGTTACCTTTGACTTCTTGGTGAGGGAGAACAGGGATTTTCCATTGCATGGAGGACATATTTTGTTCTGTATCAAAATGATAAATCCAAGTTTCATCCATAGTCACCATGTTTTTAAAGAATGTTTTGTCATTGGACTCAATTCGAAAGAGAATTTTGCAGTAATCAACTCTCTGCTTCTTTTGCTGACTTGTCAAAAGGCGGGGTACCCACCGCGCAGACACCTTATTCATGTTACGATGGTCCTGAAGAATCGTTTCAATTGACTCTACCCTGATTTCCGTTTCACTTGAGAGCTGTTTAAAAGTTATACGTCGGTCTAATAAAACCAGTTTCTTCACTATTGATACATTCTCTTCAGTTACCACAAGAGACAGGCGCCCCTCACGATCTTCATCCATCACCGACATGAATCCAGATTTTTTTTTAACCCATTATGTCTTAATAGTATTACGATGACATTTGTCACCATAAACTTAAACCATTTCCTGAAAGATGTCCGAAGGGAGTGTAAGAACTTGATAACTGAGCGATATTCAACAGGCTCCCTGGCACAGGTTCTGCAAACAAAAACCAAACGCTTTTTTGCATGGTTTCATTGAACACGCTGACTAGTGCTTTATTATTGTCGGATTTTCCCGACAAATTTGCAGGGCGTGTTCCAAAGAAATTTTTTGAAAGGCTGGAAAAATTTCATTACTTTTTCATGATTCCTTTATACCCAGATCAACGGCTTATTGAACCACCCTCGTACGGACAGAAGGTGAACAAAAAAGAGAAAACAGAAAATAACAAGAAGAAGAAAAAGAAGAAGAAGAAGAAGAAGAAGAAGAAGAAGAAGAAGAAGAAGAAGAAGAA